TTTGATCATTTCCACTGTGCATGAAATTATCACTGCAGTCTCTGATCGGTCAGGTCTGTCTCACACACAAATGTTCAAGTAACACACACAGTTGAACTCACTGATGTGCCACAGCACTAAGAAACCACAGCCAAACAACTGACTTTAAAAATCATGGGGCTTTTGAAAGAATAATAAACCTTGTATATTACAATCATCTACAATTGTCTTGAGAAAAAAGAAATTAAATGCAATTTCTTTGTGTGATCCAGAAAAATCTATACAAAAACAGCATAAACTTTGGGAAGGAAAAAAACACAAGAAAGGGGAAATAAAAAAAAAAAGGCAAAAGAAAATACTTAACTATTTATACCATATAAAATGACTGAGGACTGCCAGAGACAGCAAACATGATACTCCCTTAGCAACTTAATCTAATATGCTAATTGCAGGTGTAACTTTAGATATCCACATTTGAATTCTGGGTCCTGGAAGGTGTTTCAAATGATTCCTCAAACAAGCCAACAGTACTCAGTCTGGCAAGAAATTACATGTGTGAAAACTATTCACATAACTAAAAGCTGCAGAATTAGAACCATAATTTCCATTTCCATAAAATGTGTAATCCATTTGGTGCCTGTTGGAGATGATTAGATGATGGAAGTAGAACAGTTCCAGTTGTTAATATTATCTGTAACCTAGTTTTCTCATCTGCCTAATTTGTTGGAATATCATATTTTGTATGAGTTTAGCTGGGTTTTTTTCTATTTTTCTTTTTACTCAATCTATATAATGGTGTTATAATCATAAACCTGCATTTCCTACATGAGGTATTTATTCACAATATGGAAACAATACTTGAAAACCTATTCAGTGAATAATCTATTTACTTTTCATATTAATTATTAAGTCTGCCTATTGTTGATATTATATGAGCTAAACAATCCAAAAGCTTTAGCATGTCATTTTGAAGTGACCTGGAGGTATTTGAAATACCATCTGAAGTAGCTGGAGGCAATTAAAAGATGTGTAGATGGGGCACTTGGGGACATGGTTTAGTGGTGGACTTGGCAGTGCTGGCTTCGTGGTTGGACTCAATGATCTTGGGGTTTTTTCCAACCTAAATGACTCTGTGATTCTACAATACTGTAAAATAAGCCAGTTTTAGAAGCAGTAGACAAACCTAGGGAAATCTCTGCATTTTTTTGATACTTGAAGTTGTCACAACTCATTGTTGTAGACACTGCATCTGCATGGGGACAAAGATGCATCTGAACTAAACCAAGAACTGACTCGGTATAATCATCTCCAACCACAGGACAGCATGTAAACTAAAGTAAATGATGAAATGTTGATGGACCTTGTTTTTCATCTGAAATTAATTATTACAGTGGTGAAATCTGCACTGACCTGTCTGGGCAAAATAATTTATGCAATGATGTAACAGAAGGAATGAAGTCATTTGATTGCTAAGTAGTGTAATCACATAGGAAAAAATAACCCCGAAAATTAATTTGAGATTCATTTCTATATATCTAGTGACTTAGACTTTTTTTTAAACAAACTTAGGCTTTTTCTTGTAAGCAGTAACTGAACCGTAGAGAAAAATGTTGAAGTAACCCCTGCATTGCTGAAATATGATGCCAAAAAGAATTATTATCAGTGCAAAAATTTTATGGTATTTTATTTGATGTAATGTTTGCATCACTCAGAAGGGTTTCTTCTTCAATGCAACACACCTGGTTTTGAAAACAACCTGAAATACAAAATTATTTGGGGCCCAGTAAGTGCACAGTTGTATGTTCTGGCATACAAGAAACTAGAAAAACAGCTGAATTCTTTACTTTTTAGCAAAAACACCTTTTCTTCTTTCTTTAATAATTTAATTTGGAGGGGACCTCTGACTCTTTCTCCACTCTCACACATGTATCTAGCTAACTCTTGCTATGGGGAGAGCTCTCTTCACACTGAAGTGCCCTGGATTCCCAGCATACAACTGGCCCTAGAAGCATCATTTCCTTGTGCTGGAATCCTTCCACACAGCAATGTCATAAATTGGTGTGCTTGGTTTAGGATTAGTGATAGATTTTCTCTTTTTCTGAAATCACTCATAAAGCTATAGAATATTTAAGTACAAGTGAGATAAGCTCTGCATTCTAGCAGAATATATTGAAGAAAAAATCATCTAAATCTAAGTTTGAGATGAAGAAACATGCTCTGTAGATAACCTTCCATCTAATTTGCCTTTAAGAGTTTTTCTATATTCATGGGAGCTACCTCCAGCAGGTCAGCTACAGCTTTGAGGGGGCAGATCCACACTCCAAGAGCTGAACTTTTGCCTTTCTTAGCAAGAAACTGGAAGGGGGCAGAACATCCCTTTGCATCCTTTATCTTTGCTCACAGAGTTTCTGAGTGCTCAGAATGCCCTGCAACCTCCAGTCCTGATAACTGGGTCAGGTAAAGACTCACATGCTCCTGGAATTTCACACAAGATGACTTCAGCTTTGCAGCGAATGGATACTGAAATAATCTTCCTAAGATAATTCTGAAAGAAGCCAAAAAAGCTGCCAGCAATAGGGTGAATCTGCTGACCCTCAGGTAAGGAATGGCACCTTCTTTACAGGTGATTTATACTGCAGAACTGTGTGGGAAAATGCAGCAAATGGAGCAGGGAAGCAAGTTTACCTTAGCTTGCACTTGGCTGTGTTTGGGCCCAAGGAGCTGCTCAGGATGCTGAGCTCAGTCCTGAACAGAGCTGTACCCCCAGCCCTGGCATTCTCTGGGTGGCTGAGGCCACAGCACTGTGCCAGCCACACATCCCATTTGCACTGCCCTGCAGGAATGCCTTGGGAACCAGACCCATGATGTTTAGTACCAGTGGGTGCCAGTGAAACCAGGGGAGCTTTGATCAGGGGGATAAAGCACCTCTGCTAGGAGGAAAGGCTGAGAGAATTGGGACTGTTCAGCCTCAAATGTGATAGCTTTGGGGTGACCTAATTGTGCCCTTCCTGTGCCTGAAGGAAGCCTGCAAGAAAGGTGAAGAGAAACAATTAACAAGGGCTTGGAGTGACAAGGGGGAATGGCTTCACACTGACTGAGAGTGGAATATTGGGAAGAAATCATTCCCTGTGAGGGCAGTGAGGCACTGGAACAGGTTGTCCAGAGGAGCTGTGTTTGCCTCTGGATGCCTGGAAGTGCCCAAGGCCAGGTCTGATGGGGCTTGGCACAACCTGGGATAGTGGAAGGTGTCCCTGCCCATGGCAGAGGAGGAACCAGGTGATCTTTAAGGTCTCTTCAAACCCAGACCATTTTATGGTCCTATGCTTCATATGCCATGGTAACCTTCTTTACATGCATACTAGCACTTGTGAGCCTTTAGACGGTGCAAGATAAAAAAACCCAAACCAATACTCCAGTTAGAAACTTAAGATAACACTATAATCACTGCTATTCTCTGCTATCAGATTTCTAGATATGTTCTGAAATTATGTTCCAGATATCAGATATCACATTTCTGCCATACTAAGACAGTTCTGTATATGTGTGGGTATTATATCTGATTTGAAAGTGACACCATTCATTATTGGTACATGAGTACTTTCTACTTAAAATGTCTTTATGCTGAAATGATCTGACAAAATGGACCCTAAATCTTTTTCATCTGCCATCAAGCTTATTGGATGTTAAATCTTAAAAAACCTCAGTAGTTTATTAATATTTCAGCAGTATAGCAGCTCTTAGGCAAAGCACATTCCTAACAAGATGTTTGCTTAACGCAGTGAAATAGTTAAATACACAAAGAGTGCAAAGGGCAAACAAATATCAAGATGAATGTCATGATTTTAGATTCAAAGTACCTTAGTAGAAAACAACAAATTAATGAGCTTTGTGCTTCAACTGCCTAACATGGTAATTACTGATGAGCAAAAAGGATAAATTAGTGAGGAAAGGGCTGCTCAGTTAACAGATATCATTGGTTTTGCTTGTGGAAGGCTTGTCTGTTGTTTGGCCATACCTTTCAGCAGCATCAGCTGGCTTGTCTGACCTGCCCTGCCCACTGCAGGCAGGCACCAGGGTGAGCTTATGGCCCAGCTGTGTCTGGGCACACCGCAAGGTCATTTTTGGATTTGTCAATTGACATGATCCAGCATCCCCCTGCTTCAGCTGCTTCTAAACTTCATTTCAGTTCCAGTGACACACATCTCATAAAGCACCAAGTACAAGCTCAAATACAAAATCAAATTGAGAGGTTGTCAGAAGCATGTACAGGTACGTGGATATTTGCCAAATGCAATCTGGCAAGAGAAGGATTATGGATGGGAGAAGGATTTTCCATGTTACATGTAAATACCATTCCTCTCAAAACTTCTCAACCTGTGTCATCACCTTTTTTCTGCTTAAATTTCTTACAAATTAAAGAAAATCAATTAACAAAATAAAATGTTTCCTAAAGGTTCAAAGAACCTTTCAAGGTTTTGCTACCTTGCTGAATATTTGTTTTTCAGCTAACAAGGTACTTAAAAACCTCAAAACAGGAGAGCTCTGTAATGACAAGCTGAAACTCTACATACTCCTCCCGTTTGGAATGTACTAGAACAAATTCAAACAACTTGGCAGACGTCACGTTTAACTACGGACCTAAAATGACTTTTGCAGTCAGCGTGGCTTGCTGTGGCATCGAGATAAGGAGATTTCTGCGAGGCCAGCTGGCGGGTCAGCAGCAGCATTACCACACAAATCCGAGTCCTTGGCTGCTGACCCCGTGCTGACTCCCGGGGCTGGCACTACAGACCCTTCCCCGTGCTCAGGGCGGTTCTGGGCTCCCAGGCAGCTCCTGCACATTTACACCTTGCGGTGCTGGAAATACACTCTGTGCTCCGAGCCCTCAGCGAGGCCGAGCCAGCCCAAGCCACAGCTTCCCGAGCCACTTAAAGCCATCGCCTCGTTTCTCCCGGCCATCGCTGCCTTAAACCCTCTGAATTTCCTTAAGCTCTCGTCCCCTGAGGACACCCGCTACTTACCGGCTTAGGGCTGAGGGGGGCTGAGGCATGCCGGCGCTGTCCCGCCTCCCGCGGGCCTCCCCCGGCGCAGGCCCGCCCCGCGGCTGCAGTGGCTCCTCCGGGGGCGCAGGCGGCGGTGCCGGCCCGCCCCGCCGCGGGAGCGCGGCTGCCCCGCCGCCCTCCGCCTCGCCAAGATGAACCCGCGGCTGCGGCACTGGCGGGAGGCGGCCACGCTGCTGCTGGCGGCGGGCACGCCGGGCCGGCCGCCGCGCTCGCCGCTCGGCCCCTTCGACTACGAGCTGCTGCTGCTGCGCCGGAGCTCCCGCAGCGGCTTCATGCCCGGCGCCCACGTGTTCCCGGGCGGGCTGGCGGAACCGGCGGATTTCTCCGCCGAGTGGCTGGGGCTGCTGCCCGCCTCGCCGCACTGCGGGCTGGGCGCCGTGAAGCCGCCGCCGCCCGGCTGCAGCCGCGCCCCGCTCTTCGCCACCGACCGGGAGAGCCTGGGCTCGCAGCTGCCGGGGGAAGTCGCCTTCCGCATCTGCGCTCTCAGGGAGACCTTCGAGGAGGCGGGGATCCTGCTGCTGGTGCCGGGGCGCGGGCCGGCCCCGCCGCTGCCCGCCGAGCGCCTGCCGCCCGCCGCCGAGCTCGGGGAGTGGCGGCGCCGGGTGCGGGAGGACGCGTCCTGCTTCCTGCGGCTGTGCCGGCACCTGGGCTGCGCGCCCAACATCTGGGCGCTGTACGAGTGGAGCAACTGGCTGACGCCCGTGGGCAGGGCCGGCCCCGGCGGCCGCCGCTATGACACGGCTTTCTACCTGTGCTGCCTGCAGCAGCGGCCGCCACACGTCTCGCAGGACGACCAGGAGGTGACAGCCGTCCTGGTAAGGGGGGCCGGGGTGCCTGGCATGCAGCACAGCCCGGCCGGGCGGGTGTTGCGATGGGAGCGGCCGCTCCTGCCCGAGCCCTTCTCCCACGGCCCCAGGCTCCGCCGAGACTGAGCCCTTACACTTCGTACAGGCATAGAATCGTAGAATGGTAGGAGTTGGAACGGACCTTAAAGCCAATCTAGTCCCACCCCTGCCATGGGCAGGACACCTTCCACCAGAACAGGTTGTTCCAAGCCCCGCTGTCCAGCCTGGCCTTGCACATTTCCAGGGGTCCAGGGTCAGCCCCAGCTTCTCTGGGTACACTTTGCAGGGTCCCACCACCCTTACAGTAAAAAAACTGCCTTCTAATACCTAATCTAAAAGTCCCCTCTTTCGATTTGTACCCACTGTACTCCTTGTCTTGTCACTAGAGTTCCTGACAAGGGTCCTTTCCCAGCTTCCCTGCAGTCCTCTCAGGTACTGGAAGGTGCTGTGAGGTCTCCATAGAACTGTCTCTTCTCCAGATCAATCCAAGCCCTTCTGACAAACCTCCCTGAGATGTGAGGAAAGGGAAGGGAGTTTTACCTGCACCCTCTCCCCGGGACTCCTGGAGCTGCCACCATCACCAGAGGTGCAGCTGCAGCAGCTGTGGGGAGAGGGTTTTTTGTGAGGTCGTTGACATGATCCGTGCCACATCAGGTCCCTTTCACCGTGAATTACTGTCTCTTTCCAGGGCAGTTGACAAATACCATTTTTTTACATTCATTCCTGCAATATAGCAGGGTTGTCACACCTCCTGAGTATGCTGGGAGAGATCCATGTAGTATATCCAGGTATATTCCAGGACTGCATGAGATGCTAGTAATTTTTGTCGTTTGGAATTACTTGAAATATTTTAAGTAATATGCAAACTTGTTGAAATAGCCTACTAAAAATTTTTGACATTTTTTTTAACCTTTTCTTTTTTTAATTGAGTGTGTAAAAGTAACAAACTTCATGAAGAAGCTCTAAGAGAGCTCAAGGTTGGGTACATTAGGGTCCTTAAGTTTTTCTAGGATTCTGAAAGTTTGATTGCAAGTTAGAAGTAGATGAGAAACCAGACAGTTCTGTAATAGCCTACTTAAAATTTTGGTATTTCTGATGTTGCTGTATTTATTTGTTTAACAAATTCTGCTACAGAAATTTAAAAGTACCTGAAACCTTACTTTCAAGAGCTCATGTTGTAATTTTGTTAATAATAGCATAAATCTACTGCAAACGATTATGCATAAATTATTAAATTCACCATGTGAGATGAAATCAAGATTACCAATAGTGTAAACATGCAGAATTATGATGAATAGCTGGGTGTTGATGCTCTGGAAACAATGCTTCTAAGAAGCAGATGTTTAGAGGTACTTTTAAATCTCAAAGCATCAGTGGCAGTTTCTGGTAATAGTGAGTTTAATGTTTTCTGTTGGTTTCAGTAAACTTTCAGTCATGGCTCTAAAACAAATGTCAATTTTTAATCCTGGCATGTCTGTGTGTAAAATAAAAACTTATTTTTATTGGGAAAAAATGAGTAATTTTTATCGATTGTTTGTTTTTCAGTTTTAAGAATGTCTTTGTTGTTACTTTGGTGTAGCTTATGCATGGTTTTTATTATATCCAGAAGATATGGTCCATTGCAAGCTCCTTTGCTGAATGGACTTCCTTGCTAAATGACTTTTCAGTTTATTCAGACTTTCTATCTGCTACTGACACTATTATTTCAAGACTTGTTTTCATCTTCCAGTGGTCGTCACCTCCAGAAGCCATCGAACGCTTTAAGTCTCAGGAGATCTGGTTTCCTCCACCTCAGTTTTATGAATTCTGCAGGCTGTGCAACTTCTCTTCCCTCAAGGAGCTGCAGCAGTTCAGCTCTGCACGGGCTCTGGAGGGCTGTGAGCGCTGGATGCCCGTGATGCTGAGTGCTGCAGATGGATCCATCCAGCTGCTGCCAGGTAAGGACACACTGGAGACATCTCCTGAATGCTGTGTGCTGAAGCCACATGACATAACCATCCTTAACTGAAAGGAAAATACTCTTTAAGTCAAGTTACTGCATGCTGTTTCTGCCTTGTTTGCTATAGTTGTGACAGTGGCTGCAGTCAGAGACAAGCCAGGGCACCAGGCAGCACAGTTATTTCTTAGTTACTCCTAATCTCATTGTCTCACCATTGTCATCATATGTGTATTTGTGAAGAAATTCCAGCATTTCAGCTTTGTGTAATCTGAAGGATGTTTAAAAACTCCTTCCTTTAGTCCTTTTCAGTGGGAATTCTCCTTTACTTCAGGTATCACTTTGTGAGGAGATAGGAATCAAGCACAGCTGCAGTATAACACCTCCCAACTGCAGTGATAAGGCACTGGACTAAAACCATACCCTCAGCCATCTTCCTCCTGCCCTTTCTCCTGCTTAAGTCTCTCTCATTTCATAATCATGTGCATGCAGCGTTAAGAAAAGCTGCATATACTATTTATTATTTTCTGCTTTTTTAGTTTGTTTTTCATTATGCTTTCCTTTTTTTTTTTTTTTCTTTTGGTCACAATTTCTGTAGGATTTCTATATTTGGGGCTTATTGTCAGTCTTGCAGAAGAGTATAATGCCTTGATATGGCAAAACAATTACTTACTTTAACAAAATAGAACAAAATATATTTCTGTTCTTAGTCCTATCTTTATACCCATGAAGAAGTGCTTGTCCTGTGCTCCACCTATTATATGAGTCTGCCCAGGCTGTCATTACAGCATATTAATAGCATATTATCAGGAACTCTGGAATATTCAACGTGCACTGCAGTGTCATACTTCTGACATACTTCAGAAATGTATGATTCTGTCTTTAAATCTGAAGATGTTTAGAGGCAATTTACTTTGCATTGCGAAATACATTTCCACTGATTTATCTATACTGATAAATCCTAAAAAAATTGCCTGTGAAAAGGCTGAAAAATAAGGTTGGCTATCTATAACTAAATCTTTTTTTCTACCCCCAGGAGATGAGTTATATCCAGAGGATCCAGATTATACTGGAGAAAAGAAAATGATAATGTCAACAGATAAGAAGGTTGAAGATCTCATGAAAGAGGGTGGGGTATTTCACAGGATAGTAATGAAAGACATCAACAATCTTGCTGTTTATGTTAATATTCAAGCAAAATATAAGCATATAAATCCACTGATGATAAAGTGTGATAATTCAGATTACAATAGCAGATTATAATATGTCTTGGGTTTAAATCTAGAATATTTTTAATTGCATATATGCTCACTGTGGTTTTGGTGCTTTTTAACTGTTGCCAAATAGTCATGAAAATATTTCTCTGTCCTGCCAAAGCATTATATCTGTATGTGTGTGTGGGGTCACATCTATATGTATCTAATTTCTTGAGTCTTTAAAAACAGAGCAGTTGTGCCACTGTTGAGTCACAAAGGTCTTCTTCTCATTGAAAGTTTATATATATATATTATAGTTAGAACAAGCAGAGAAGAGTTGAGGGATTCTTTTAGTATGCTTCCCAAAGTTATCCACTAGATTACTGCAATGTTAGAAATGGATAAAATCTCCCATTCCATATTTGTTGACGTTTCCCATTCTATTATTTCTTTCATTTTGGGGACAAGCAATGTATGTATAGATATAGATATATACATAAATTAACTATAAAGCACTTTTTAAAGATATTATAAAGTTAATTTTTATATTTTATATACTTAAATTCTTTCTACTAATGGTAATAATTCAAAACTACAATTTTCAAAGGTAGACCTAATTTAAAGGAAGTCATCTATGGAATTGAGTGCATTCTTTTTATCAATATATTTTTTTATCTTCAAGTTGTAAGTGATTTAAAAAAATAAAAAGTGTAATTTTTTAGCTCCAAAAAGATATCAACAACTTAAGGGAATAATATTCCTCCTTGATATACCCACTTCCATATTCCAACATCCCACATTTTGCTTCTTAACTACTTTACTAATATAACTGAGATTTAAGAACTTCAGAGGAATGATTGCTGCTTAATGTTTGGTTTGAATTTGTCTTTTCTTCTGTTCAGTAAGTGGAGTCGATGGAGTAGTTTTGTAAATTATCTGGAAGGAGAATGAATGATGACTTCAGATTAGTCAGTAAAGTTGTTCAGAAAGCTTTGTTCCAGCTTTTGTTCTGTGTTTCAATTAAAACCTGTTCCTACAATTAGATTAAATTGGTTTGTAGCATTCATTTGGATTAAAAAAAATACTGAAAAAAAGGTGTGTCTTTCTCTTCTCCCTCAGAACATACCCAGGCTGGTGCAGGTTTTGCAGACCTTGTTGAGGTTTGTAAACCTGTGCTGAACAATGTCCACATAAGCAGAGCACTGTGTATTGTGCAGTAGAACACCAGAATATTCTGGCTGGGTGTGACATTCCCTTTTCTCCTGTCACTGGAGACTTCACCTGCCTGCCCTGACTTCTCAAATGCAATGGAGAGTGCCCCAGGACCCACCCTTGCTAGTTCCCCCAGGACCCTGGGATGCGTCTCATCAAGTCCCAAGGACTTGTCTATGTTCAGGCTTCTCAGATGGCCTTGAACTTGGTTTTCTCCTACAATGAAAAGTACTTTATTTCCT